CAACCCAGTCTAGCCATACCAGCTCGGAGTCTACATGGCTATCCACCACAACACGCGACGCTGCTGGCATCGGCCGTGGAGAGCATATATGAAACTTCCCCGCACTTTTCAGCATGTTTCAACATGTGGCCCTTTTTGACTACCTTTCACGTTATTTTCAATGCGCAGTCAACTGTCGCCTTCTACTGTACGAACAGTCGACGCCATGAATGAAACAAACGACGCTGAGTGGGTTAAAACGGCCATTTCTGACAAAATCATTTTCAGTCGTTTTTTGGCATTCAGAAGGCCATTTAGTGGAAATGGACCATAGTTTTATAATCAGTGCTCATGCCCCTATACCATGCAGGAACCATATTCAAAAAACGTCCCACGCCCTGGAAGACCTTCCTTGTTCGGGAATAGAAGCTATGAATTTCCGCTCAAAAACTTATTTCGCGCAAATCCTGCTCCCTGTGAGCGGTGTCCTATCCTGCCACAAACCGTAGGATTCCCGATTTCGCCGTCTGTTCTCTTACGAAATTCGAATGCTTTTGGCCCATGAGAGCAGGAGTAATGAGTTTCGGTCGAACACACATACACACATACGCATACACAGACACACATACACACAAGTACACACGCATCCACGCATACACATATACACTCAGTACGCACACATAAACACCCACGCATACACATACACACACTCTCACAAGTACATACAGCACCCACTCATACACACGTACATGCAGTACACCCATACACATTCACATACACACATACAAATACACACAGCACACACATAAGTCGTTATAATATATTAGGTGATGCTATCAACTTTATACATACGAGGGCTACTATTAACCACTGCCATACGTATATTCTGGAAATCAAAGTGTGGATCCATCCCAGTCTGAATTACTTAGCGAGTTATCCCGCCAGACTTGTCCCTTCACTCACCTTAATGGTTAGCAAAGGATAAGGCTTAGACGGGTGTGAACTGAACGTTATGACAGTTTATGCCGTGGCGTTATTATATCGATGAAGTCATGGATGGGGCGAACGCGGTATAATGGCAAGGTGTTTAGTATGTCACAAGCACGGTCACGGGTTCGAATGTCTGATCGATATCCGCCCAGGCCATCCAAGCCTCCCATCCTACTGGCCGGTTGATTGGCACAAGACTTGCCTGCGAACATGAAGGCACTGACTTGTAAATCGGTTGGCCACCTCAAGTCATTGTTTGGGCCAAGTACGCATTAATTACTCCACTAGTATCTGAATGGAAATCGAATGCGGGAACGCATCTCAAAAAGGATTGCTCACGGCCAGAAGATTGAATCCTCTATTTAATGTCAAACCCTCAGTCATGTGGGAGCAGATCAGAAAGTGGGTGATGCAAGCATGTCATTCCCAAATTGCGCTTTTCATCCATATGTACTGCTTCTCTTCAAGCACAGAGAAAACGGCCATCACGTCGAATCGTCGAGGTAGATAAAAGGTAGATAAAATTTGCGAAAAATTTCTGCGAGCGCATGTTCTTTCCTGAGTCTGAGCACGTTGCCAGTCTCACAAACCTATCTTAGATTCATCGTCTTCTATGGGGTTCTTGGCAACACTGAAGCGATAGAGGCAGACTGTACATTGGCAAAGATACTATACCATTATCATCGTCCACCACTGACTCGCTTGTTTCGCAAAGGAGGCACGAGTTTCGAAGATGAACTGCGGTTGGGACTACGACCCACAGTTTTGCGACAGGGCTCGCTTGTACCCAATCGACAGTCATTAACCATCTCCAAACTCTCGGTTACCGAGAAGTGTTGTCTCGATGGATCCCTCACACCTTGATAGATGGCACGCGGCTACCTGGTTCTCCAAATGTCAACCTCTCCTTTTCCGCATCGCAGTGAGTTTTGAGAGGACCGGGTCTCGCGAGATGAGAGTCGGGTCCTCTACTGCTCTGTCTAAGATGCAGTCCAAATCAAGCATACAATCTTCTTCGCTGTACAACTATCTATTCACTCGTGGAAATTGAGGCTCATAACTCTGCCTTATTTTGTAATCTTTATTTTCGCTTTGATTTTTGCTCCTAATATTGATCCCAGTGGGGGTTTCAAGGAAAGCGCGAATGTAAATGTATAACTTTTACTCGTTTATATTTTCTTTTTGTTTCTCATCCTGAATACTTCTCAGGTAGGAACCATGTTTAAATCCTCGCCCATTGTTTCTGTGACTTTGAAGAGTAAGTCATATAAGTTCTACACCTATCAAATTCTAATTATTAGTTGCTGCTGTCTTTGTTGTTCTTCTCGATCTAATTGTTCCAGTATGACCACTGATATTCTTCTGTCTCGGTTAAGAAATGTTCACTGGTCATCACTCGGATAATTGATTTGGGTTGGCCATTTATTTTAGAAGATGCTGTTCTGGTTGTGTTGCTTGAGCCACTGAAATTTCGCTTCATTCTCTATGTTCATTTGTTTAGATGGTCATTTCGTGAGCATTTTGGTGCTGCTTTTTTCCTGGATTCATAGAATTAGGTAGTAATTGGAATTCAACTAGATCACCTCTAGGGTCCAAGATTGCCTTTAAGGCTCAAAAAATATGCTTATCTATCTTATCAGTTGTTTTTTGGTTATAGTATTATTGAAGAAAAACATTTTCGGAGATAGAATCTTTAGGTAAGATGGAGCTAATCGAAAGCCATCACCTTGTGCGGAAGTATGGAGGAGCGTCTGCACGCACGTTTTGAGATAGAACATGTCCATACGATACTTTGAGCGATGTGAAGCTTGGGAAGGATTACCGACTTTTCTCGACACATTCTCTTCGAGATTTGTGGAACAGTGACAACGGACTTTGAGCACGGAAGGCATACAACTGATTTGCCCGTGGCTGATCAGGTGGCCATGGCCATACATTCACCTGGAATAAATGTGATGCAGGTGATTTGGCCAGACTTGCTGGCTGTCATCAATCTACAGTCTCGGGTTAGTGGCAGTCGCTAATGTGATCGATTGAAGAGCCAATCAATTTGTGGGATGGCCGGATGAGCAGGAGAGCTTGAATACCAATAGTTCCTTCTACCAAAAAAATATGGCCTCCCAGAATTGTTGGGATTCTTGTTTTCACTGTCGCATCCAGAGACCTAGAAACGAAGAAGGAGGCTAAATTTGCAGAGAAGGGTATCATAATCTTAATGTGCGAATTGTAATTGAATGAGATATGAAAATAAGATGGATGTGCGCTAAATTACCGGGATCTGCCTTCGATTCCCGTATTTTCAAGACATCGATGCTATAAGAGCAGTTAAAAAGAGGAAATTAAGGGCTACTTGATAGGGGACTCAACCTCTGCTTAAGCCGAAACCAGGCAAGGTATTCATTATCAAGTTCTTTTACAATTCCAAATTGTTTTTTTGCAGATGAACACTACAACAGAGCTATCCGGTCCGCTCGCGTTCTTGTGGAGTAGGTTTTTAGAAATTTGAAGCGACGTTCCACTTTTTATATCTACGCCAAATAAAAGCGAGAACAACCAAAAATTGCGCATCTCTCAGTTGTTATTCTGACTAAACCCACTTAAGGTGTTATCCAGCGAAGCCAGCTCGAATAATAGTGGCATGTTGCGTGCTTCGAAATATAGCAATAAGTCGAAAAGAACAGTCAATTTCGACGACTACAGCGAGTAGGACCAGCAGATCGAAGAGATCCCGTACGAGCTTGCTCATGAAGTCCCCGAAACAAGTACCATTTTTCAGGAAAAACATAGCACGCTATTTCCGAGGTGAAAATCAATTACTGCCAACTACTTCGCCTCTTATTTCCTTTTTGCTGATGAATATTCCAATGTATTCGCATTATGTGCTTCCTCAAATAGTTTTTTTTCTATGAACATAGAACGTACCATTTTCATTCATTTATCAACGCATATTTCTCTTATCTATAAAGCAGTAAATTGGTGTATCGTTGTCGGTGTGTGTGAGGATCTTTGTCGATTTGTTTGACTCTACATCCGTGAAGCTTTATGGTCACGATAAGCGTAGCGATATGGAAAATCAGCTTTATCCTACATTCCCCTCTTCTACACAAAGCAGTAACTCCATGGGTATGGTAATAGAGTGTAGTGAGTATTGAAGCGAGTAATGTGAAGTGGGCATTTTAAAACCAATATTTCGATCTGTCGTGACATAGTGCTATGTATGGCTATACAAAAATCGGAGATGATAATGTAATTGAGAGACCTCCGCCGTTTTCAATATTTAGCGCTAGAGCGCAGATAATGAGGTTAGCCCATGATTGTGCTCGGGAACGCTTCTTAGCCAAGAACAGCTTTTTGACTTGAGCTTCAGGAGGAAGATAGCACCGGAGTGGGTGAGACAACTGAATATTCAAGTTATACCCATCCTAGCTTTTTGCACGAGGTCATCATCTAATCCCTACCCCGGCGCTTCTCTCCTTTTAAGGCTCGAGTAAAAATGCATTCTTTCGCCTAAAATCGACTCAAAGCACAGGTATGGTCGGCTACCCGTTCTTTTCTGCACTCAAGCTCTCAGTGTTGAACAAAAGTAATTGCCTCCCCTAACTACACTTTCTAACTACTTTGTAAAAGTAGGGAGTGAGGCCGACTGGAACCATTACTTGAGATCTGATGGCGAGTGAGCAGCTGGAACAATTAATTGAGATCTGATGGCGATTGAGAATCGGCGAGTGTAGTAGCGAGGGACAATTCTGAGGTAATGGTTACCTAAAAGTGATTGACATTCAAAGCAAATCAAAATTGTTCCTCTTCCAGTGTTCGATCCACTTGGTCTTTCTGCAATTCGGCAATATGTTTTTTTGAAGCAGCTCCTTTTTCAGCTGTTGGATCTCCAACTCCTGCCGCAGGAATTCGTTCCTTGCTGACTGCCTTCCTTGCGTACTCGCGAGCTCCTTGTCCGACTCTCTCCCTTGTGAACTCGAAGGAGACAATACCAGCGAGTACGAAGGGGACGGGTAAGACGAGGGCGATAAAGATGCCAGCCTCTTGCACTGTAAAAAATTTCTGAATACGTTTCAATTGTCAGGAAATACAGTGAAACTTACCTTTTTTGCTCGTTGTCCGACCTCCACACCGTTTCGCAACACCACGATCTTTGGCCTCTCTTACAGGGCCGTGAAAGCACATCTCTGAGGCGCGCTAAGGCGCGGGGGGAAAGCAACTCTGACAACGCCCATTCTTCCCGCTCTTTCACCTGAAACAATGACGTGACATAATCATTCAATTAAGATTTCAGTTTCACTGCATCTTGATAGGGCATTCTTGTATCTTTTTGAAACTTTAATTTCATCCTTTATTTTATAGTACACATGCGTCCCACTTCTTCTGGCCACGTCTAGTGCGTTGGAGTCGTGCATCAGCTGAGCGATCATTCTTTTTTAGCGTAATCAGACGCGATTCACACTGATACTTCTAATCGCAAAAACCAAGAGACGTCCCTTCAACATCCCCACGATTGAATGATGGTAGACATCGTTTTGTCTACAGATCTCTCTAGTTCGATGAGTTCAACCTCTCTTCCAGAGGAAAAATTGCAGTCTCGCTCTGCGAAAGGAATCCCTTGTGGTATCCAGTGGTTTTCATGCTTATTGAAAAACTAGGAAATCAGGTTGACATTGGTGAGAGTGAGAACCTTTTTCTGAAGGAGAATCGAATTCCTGAACCACTAATCACGTGTAGATTGTGGTAAATTGCGGTCACTGTAGCCTTTCTCATTATCAGTAGTGATAACCACACTTCGAAACTTTCGGAGAACTACTATGATTCCTTTCAATAGTCCTAGAATGGTAGCGCAGTCAATGGGTTCTTCAGGGGTAATAAATTCGTCTCTTTATAGTTACATATACTATCACCGAAGATCCTTTCCTGAGCAGGTTTCCTGGTTGAGGAAGGAGTCAAATGACGTAGGAGCTCCATTTTTTTAGGCAATTCTTATCGGGAGCGACATTGTATTGTGATTGCTTCGAGATTACAGGCCCGATTTATTTTTCTGCAAAGATCGGAATGTTCCAATCTCTCTAATCCAGTGAACACCAATCCATCCGCTGAGGGCCTTGTGGCCTAGAGGATGAATGTGTAGTCATATCAGTGATATGCGAGTAGTGGCACTCTTTGAAAAGAATTTTTGACATTTGAAGGCAAATTGAAGAACATTTTGCCAAGTCTGACCTAAACAGTCTTAATGGTTAATTTACTATGCACTTTTTGAAATGTGTAGAGGATATCATTACTTGTAATTTTAACGAAGTTTAATGCATTACTGTTTCCTTTGTGCCTATGCTCATCAGGGTGTTGAGCATGCTGGAAGGATACAAAAAGGCGAGTTAATAGAAATGCTTTATTGCATTACGATACCTCCCAATTTCGTCTCACGCGAAATTTTTTTGCTGTCATACGATTGCTTCTGAAGAACATATACATATTTTCGACGAATCCACGTATAATCGCTGTCTTAATGTATAAAGAGGAGTTCTTATCATAACTCTCTGTAAGTGGCAGATCACACTTCAATTTCATAGTTTTAAGAATGATGAGATCACAGGGT